ACAGCCCCCTTTCATGTATGTCATTCAGGTATGCAGAGTTAGAAGTGCGCAATCTTCATGACAAGCGAAAACGAAAAACCACTGATCCGTCCCTTTTTCGAAATCGCACAAAGATTTGAGTCCATGTTAGGAACTCGACATACATATCGCTGTATCCGTCATTTATGCAGGATTGCATTGCAATCGGGATGCGAAAATATCCGGTACATTTTCTCAATATAGTCCAAATATTCAAATTTTTACCAAAGTTATCTTTATAAGATCGCCATTTGTTAGCTAAGTATGTGGACATATGGGACATTCATACTGGGCAAAAACATTTTCATCATAGCATTATATTAGAACATAGAACAATATTCACAGAGTGCCATACCAAATGAAGCGTGGTATACTAATCAAGTTTGCTTTTGATTTTCGTAAAGTACGTGGAAAACAGTCGTCTGCCACGACGTATTATGCCTGGAAGCCGTGATCCGGAAAGGGCTAACCCGTTTTCAAAGAATTAGATAAACAGGAACGCGAAACGGGGTCGTCACAGAATTTTAGGAATGAGCATGCTTAGATCCCATATCCGACTTCTACAAGCTCCATGATGATAACTGCTCGTCAGATAAAAAATAAATTATTTCATACCACGTACTCTATGATTAGACAATATTAATTTTGCTGCGTTCCATGTGGCCATGTCTATGCTAACTTTCTCAGAGGATCCCTGACAAAAGATTTCTTTCGTTCATAGAATTCATGAAAAAGAACGTATCTCTTCGTTTCGGCGTCTTCTCTATCCTTAGTTGATACGTAACCATGACTCTTAAGAATTCCGTGGAACAGTTCAATTTTCTGCATTTTTTCCCTAGAAGTAATAGAAACAATGAAAACGCTATGATCCCTTCTTTCTCTCGGAATAGTTGGTTTGGTAGCTTAAATGGATTCCTTTACAAGGGTCCCGAGAGGAAAAGCTGACGGCGTCGGAGAACGTTTTGTTCTTCGTCCAGATCAGGGCGTGTTCGCAGAGGGAGGCCTTCGAGCACTCAGCCCTCCCGTCTCAGGATCTTCACGAACCACTATTGTGAGACTGAGATTGAGAAGCGAATACTTTGAGAGAAAAAAAGTTTTGCATTTCCGAGCGTTTGCATTGTCTAACTCCTCAAGAGGGGTCAGACTTTCAGCTGCGAGGAGAGAGATCACAAAAAAAGGACCTTGTCGGACATGTAATTCCGGAGCGAAAGCATTGTAGCAGCAGTAATCTCACGAAAGAAATCAGAACGAGTTACAATCCTGCGCAGGAAGTCAACGACCCAGAATGTGACAAGGGGGAGTATTATTTCCCAAGTTGCTCATGGCCGTTCTCGGAAACGCTCAACCATGTTCGAAGAGGTTTTGAAACGTCCTATATATTGAAGGATGATCAGCTTTTGGATGCTCAGCTAATGTGACTTTAGATATCCAGAAAACTACTCATCATGACCTTCTAAAGGACATTTGTTGAACGTTAGGGAGACGTTTTCTTTAAGCACATTTGTGTTGCTTCGTCAGCGCGACGTACCAGCTATTGGCGGTGGCTCGAGCCCGTCATAGCGAGTCGGTATGTGATGCGGTTTGAATTGGTTTCAAACACTTTTCACCGGATAACCTATTTTTTCATCTCAGATACCAGAGGGAAGACATTCGAATCCTTCATCATTGATGCTGATGCATTCCCCACTTGTTGGTCCATCTGCCGATAAGTGATATGAGAGATACCTCATGCTGGAGACGTCACGGCTTCAAATTTTCTTCCTCAGATGCTACCAATATGTGACCTCATGAAGGAATGTGAAAAGCATTTTTCAAAGGCTTTCCCTTTCTTCAACCCCATCCTCAACCTCACCCCCCTCCCCCTCTTCTCTACGGAACACACAAACGTTAGGCTTAGGCCTAACCGACGGACTGTCGTGCCCGGACCTAAATTTTTCGTTCAAAAGAAGCTTAATCCTCGACTTACGAGGCCAAGAGTGCCAATAAGGATTAATCCCTGGTCTTCGAGACATCTAGTAAAGGACCTGTAACGTTAGACCAACCCCAGGCCTATTCAGTCTCTCATTAATAGGCGCTGTAGCGCCTATTACCTTTCCTCAACCCCTTCCCGCCGCAAAATTCAACCTCCCCGTATTCCTCTCTGAGAGCTTCATGAGGCACGAAATTTGGCGTACTTATTCCTCTCTCACCACAGAATCGCTCCAGCAAATTAGAAGCCCCATCTCCCTGGAGCTGTGGAGAACGCTGAATCTCGTCTTTGGAGGATGAAAANCCCCCCCCCCCCCCCCCCCCCCCCTCCTTGGGTAGCCACTCCTGGGGGGTTTTCGGAGGAAAGAGACCAACCGTAAGAAAGATATTGACTAGTAGATGACGAAAAGTGGCTTTTTTTCTGTTTACGATGCTCTGTTTCGTCATAAAAAACTAAATTAGCTGTCGTTCAATTAGGCTAAGAATGCTTGCACCGGTACTGTCTCCCAGTGTTGCCGGATACCTTGCCGAAATTATGCCAGATTCAAGACTCATCCAGATTCATCTTCGTATCGGCTTCTTCTGTTTTTTAATGTATGAGACATTTTGTGCTGATTTCAGGAGATGAGTTGAGATTGAAGCTGTGGTTAGCAGTTATTGAACGATGTGGTGGGATATGCAGATATCCTAATCCGGACATCTCTGAATCAACAGGATGGCGCGTACCATGGATTCCATGCTGCTTGAGGGCATTCTCTACTCAGACCTGTTCGAAATGGTTAGGGGAACTCTAGATAAGCCTAACGTTCCACGTCCCACTAGAATGGTTCATGAAGCGTGAAACAGGCCTCTAATTGGTCTAACGTATGAATAGGCCTGCGATTGGCCTAACGTTACACGTCTTCAACCTCAAGATGTCTCGAAGACCACGGTTCACCCTTACAGGCCTAATTGGCGCAGTAAGTCGAGAATTGAGTTTACTTTGAAAATAAAATGGTAGGCCTTGGCGTGACCTGAAGGTAGTCAACAGTTGGCTAGGCCTTGGTCTAACGTTAGTGAGTCTCGTAGAGAGTCGGGGGGAAGTTGAAGGAAGGGAAAGCAAGTGAAAATTGGTTTTCACATTACTTCTTAGTCCTTTTATGTGAGGACATGTATCGTCAGACCGATTAGAGGCTTGTTTCGAGTTTCATGAGCTATTTCAGTGCGGACGAGAAACATTAGGCCTAACATTAGGCATTTTTCGAACCGTCTCGACTAGTGCTAAGGAGAGAATGCCTCTAGGAAGCACGAAATACAAGCTGGGTACCATCCTGGTAATTTAGGGATGTCCGAATGAGATATCTGCACATCCCACCACATCGATCGGCCACTACAAACCACCGTTTCAATCACAGATCATCTCATGAACTCGGTCCAAAATTGGCTCATACATTAATATGGCGAAATGGAGCACTGGAAGCAAGGAAAAGGACACTTTTCGTCACCTAGAAGTCAATATCTTTCGTTTTGTTTGTCTCTTTCCTCCAAAATCTCCCAGAAGTGGCTATCCAGGGGAGACGGAAAAAATGCCGAAATGAAATTCACATATTCGAAAAGCGAGATTCAGTGAACACAACAACCCCGGGGAGATGGTGTTTCAAGTTGGCTGGAGCGATTCTGTGTTGAGAGAGTAAGTAGCATTTCAAATTTCGTTCCTGTCGTTGCTTTCGGAGAGGAATACGCGAAGGTTGAATTTCTTCGGCGGAAGGGGTTGAAGAAAGGTAAAAGGCGCTAACGCGCCTATTACGCGCCTATTCATTAAGAATCGTCTTTGAAACCCTCCATTACGCCAGATTAAAGAATACTTCAACCTTCGTTATGTGAGACATTTTTGTGCTGAGTTCATGAGATGAGTCGCGGATGAAGCGGTGGTTAGCAGTGGCTGATAGATGTGATGAGATATGTAAATATCTTAACCGAACATCCCTGAATTAGCAGGATTTGGCGCGCCATGAATTTCATGCTTCCTGGAGGCATTCCCTCCTCGGACTGGAGCCTAAATTAATGACAGTTAATTTCATTTATGGCGAAATGGTGCAGTAGGAGCAAGAAAAGGACACTTTACGAGGCATTTCATCCTCAGACCCATTCGCGATGGTTCGAGGTAATCCAGATAGGCATAACGTTACACGTCCGCACTGAAGTGGTTCATGAAACGCGAAACAGGCCTCAAATCGATCTAACGTTACACCTCCTCTGAAATGGTTGGTGAAAGAATGAATAGGCCTTCGACCTGACGTTAAACGTCCTTTACTAGATGTCTCAAAGACCAAGATTCACCCTAAGTATTCCTATAGATTCGTAAGTCGAGAATTGAGTTTCATTTGAAAATAAAAGGTCAACCTTGGCGTAACTGAAGGCAGTCTGTTGATTAGACTTAGACCTAACGTTAGTGAGTCCCCTAGGGAAGGGGGGAGGGAGGGTGGGAGAAAGGGAAAGCCATTGAGAATTGGTTTTCACATTACTTTAATTAAACCTTGTTTGTGGTTGTAGAAGTTTCGGATCAGGAGATCTCTTCCCAGAACTGAAGCTTAAGCCATAACCCTTCCAGCGGATAGCGAACCATTCTAATGAATTCCTTCTCCGGTTTTTCTTTACGAGGTTAAAATTTTTGCAATTCAAATTACAAGCTTCAGAGACTTTACGGAAATTACAGGATTAAAATCACAGCCATTGGTAAGTGTGCATTGTACCACTTGCAAAACTTTTGAAAAACCCCTTGTACCTCAAAATAGCATTTTTCCTGAAACCGGAACCCCATAGGGCTTTTTCACTGACGTCACAAAATTTGACGTTTATCAGAGGGGCGGAACGCGCATCCGCCATGCTGGAGTACAGGGGAGCGGGGATTTCAACTGATAGGCCTATGTTACGGGTGTAGCCTCATCAAGTCTGCGTCATGATTACCAGTTTTTTTTTTCATGATTACCTTTTGTGAGACTCTGAAAGGCACGGTAAAAGACCGTTATCTGAAGATGATGTGCGAAGAAGGTGATCCCTACGCGCTAGAGCTCTGTGATGGTCTTGTGGATGATGCCAAGTTCTGGCCTAAAATTCGATGCGTTCCATTTTTCGCAATAGCCCCTGGTAGTCATGGCGTGTCTGTGCAATGTCATCGTGTGGTATATTTTCAACGAAAGCGCTTAAAGGGTTGTTTCGAAAGAAGGTCTATGAAGGAAGAGACTCCACAGAACAGAGTTCACGCTTCCACAGGAAATTCGAACTACAGTATTGACTTCTTTCTCCCGTACTTACGCTTAGAGCATCACACGCCATCAAATTCAGGTCTTACCTTCTCGCCTGAGGCCTAACGACACGATCCAATCTAGAATCCTCGGACGAGAACGCCTGTTTTGGGCTGCCTTCCTAATCATGGAGTTAGATCTAGGCATGTACGGATACCACATAACCAATTTGTGAAACAGCATACATCATCATTTCTGCAGATCCGTCACTCTCAAAGACTCAGGGAACCACCTTTGCAAGTGTGGGTACTTTCTCAGCCTTGGATCTACCGAAGAAATTCACTCTAGTGAAGCAAAATATCACTGTCGTTCTTGCCGAAACTAGTCTGCCTGTACTCCAGCATGGCGCGGAGGCCGTGTCTCCCGAACTGTGACATCATGTGAAAAAGCCCTATAGTTAAATTATGAATTAATTAATTAATTAATAACCCTAACATTTTTCCATCAATCTCTTCCTTTGAAGATTTGTGTTGGACCCGATCGGGATTGCGGCTGGCCTACGTCCTAAAGAGGCGAATCATGGACAAAAATCAGATCTGTATAGCAACAGCGTCACGAAATTTACCCAGAATCACGTGGAAAATCACCATCAGAACCGGAAGAGGAACGTTAGTGCGCTCTCCAAATTCAGCGATGACAGGTTCGTGGAATCCCATAGATTGGCGATCGGTCTCGTTGATGGACTGCTTCACTGATGGACGTCTCTGATGTTAGCATGAAGGCCGTCTTCTACGCCGGCATGTTCCTTTACGGGTTCTGGGTGTTATGGGGGAAGGACTGGCTGTGGGACTCCAGGCTCTGCTTCGTGGACTTCCCCTTCCATGTGAGCTTTCTGGGATTTGGATCTGGTTGCGAGGTGGATTTCGGGTGTAAAGAGGAGGGCGGTGCGGTTGTTTTGAAGAGGAGAGGTTGATTCTTTTTGTAATTTCTTTGATTCGAATTGACAACTTTGCATTCGTCGCACCGTGGTCTTGTTCATACTCGATTCCCCGAGATCGTCATAAATTCGTCTTTTTCATCATTGCCAATGTTTCCGTCCTAGGACTTGCCGAAGGACATACATTGGTATTTCCTTGTGGAGATGGGCTTCTACGTCTTCCTTCTAGAGTCCGAATGCTTCGAAAGGAAGCTGAATAATGTATGGGTGGAATTCGTTCATCACACCCTCACGCTGGTGCTGCTCTTCTTATCCACTTGTATTCATGGGCATCGCGTCGGGTCCATCGTCTTGCTGCTGCACAATGCAAATCCTGTGTTCTTTTTGGTCAGTCTCCTGCCATGTTTACCCTGAGGGCAGGTGCAGATTTCTATGGGGAAAATGATAAAATAATTTTATGATACCTGGGAAAGTCTCCCAAAATTGCCCGAAAGGATCTCAAGTATTCAGCTCAATATTTTAAAAATTAAGAAATATTGAGTTATATGATTGAGGATGATGAAGGAATGACTCATGTATTGAAGGGAGAGGCAGCGTCTATATATCTCATATACTGCAAAAGCGCTATTCTTCACGAAGACGAACTTTTCGCGATGTTAGCGAGGCTTCATAGAACTTCCCGTCTTGAAATCATTTTTTATTCTTACGGTTAATAAACCGGGTTGGAGGTAAGAGGGAGGGAGGCCAGAGGAAGGAGGACTTAAACGGAAACCAACATGACACTTTCCAAAGGAATTGGAAAGTGTCCATATATATATTCATGGATTGTATAATAAAAAGTGGAAGGATGATAAGAAAATCTCATATTCTATCAGGAAAGCCGTAATTAATAGTATCTGTGGGATGCAGGGAACAAGGGTTCCATCTAGTGAGAAATCTTGGTACTGCAACTGCGGAACGGTAAGCTTATTTCATATGGATGGTGTGACGTTAATTTTGCATAAACTTGATATGTACTTCATGTCAAATGGAATGACGTCTAGTTTATGTAAAATACACGTACACTTTGGTGACGTAAATATAGGAACGTAAATTTTACGTAAACGTGATGTCATTTTCATGGCAATCGCAATAAACTTACATTGTTTGCAAGGAATTGATATCTTATTTACGTAAACATGCTGCTTGGGAAGTTCTTACCTGCATGCTCCCCAAGGGCAGCGTCATGATGCTACTCTCCGTTCTCTACCAAGTCCAGGATCAGAAGAGGCGGCAGAGCTTCTGTGGAGAGCTCTGCTATAAAAAAAACGTATTCATGACTGCTTCTGCCTCTCCTGGCAGAGCAAAGAAATGCGCCCGTAGTAATATGAAAACCAATTTGCAAAGGTTTCCCCTTTCTTCAACCCTAATCCAACATCACCGCCTCCTCCGCCCTTCTCTATGGAACTCTACATTGTTAGGCCTATGCTTAACCGACGGACTGTCTTCGGGTCAGGCCTAGGCTTACCATTTTTCGTTAAAAAGCAACTGATTCCTCGACCTACGGACCAATTAGGCCTCTCAGGATTAATCCATGGTCTTCAAGACAACTTGTTGAGGATGTTTTACACTAGGCAAGGACGTCTTACGGTTAGGCAAATCGCTGACCTATTCAGTCTCTCATAAACCATTTAACAGAGAATGTGTGACGTTAGACCAATTGTATATCTTTTTCGAGTTTCATGAACCATTTCAGTGCAGTAGGGAACATTAGGCCTATCCAGAGTTTCTCGAACAGAGAAGAAAAAGCCTTTAGAAAGCATTACATATAAGCTATCCACCATCATGTTAATTTAGGGATGTCCAAATGAGAAATCTCCGCATTCCACCAGATTGGCTGACCTCTGCAAACCAGTTTCAATCTCAGCTCATCTCATAAATTCCGCGCAATAATGTCTCCAACATTAAAAAAAGAGACCTAGAGAACGATACTAAGGCCGAAGAAGTCATGAATTTGACATAACTCCAACATGATATCCAGCAACACTGCGAGACCGTTAAATCATCGAACGGTCTTAAGTTAATGGCAGCCAATTTTTCATTTTTCCTATGCAAAATGGTGCACTTAAATCAATAAATAGGGCGCATTTCATCACCTACTAGTCAATATCTTTCGTTAGCTAGGTCCCTTTCCTCAGAAACTCCCCAGGAGTGGCTACCAAGGTGGGAATGTGGGGGGGGGAAATTAAAGTAAAAATTAAAAACCCAGAATTAAATCCACATCTAATATATATAGACGATCGTGACTGACTGACTGACTGACTGACTGAAAAGTCCGACTTTGGAGGTACTTGCCCTGGGGGTACACATTTTGGGGGTAGAAGTTGTTCTTAAATATATATCGTGATGGATAAGGATGTCATCGAAAGAGTCTCTTAAATGTTACCGTTTCGGTGGCGTTGTGGTAGCACATCGCGTTGCTAATCGTGAGGCCACGATTCAATTCCCGGCCATGCCATGCCTTTTCTTTGGCTTCTCTTGCCTTCCATGTCCCGTTGCTTGAATAAAACGGAGAGACATGGAAAGCTGAAACGTGGCATGGACGTGCCTACCGACACGATGAGTTCAGGAATACAAAATTTTAGATCCATGCCCTGGGGGCATATTTTTTGGGGCTGACGTTTTCATGTATTTTTTGTCCTGGTGTATTGAGCTAGTGTGGAAAGATGAAACTTGGTATATAATTACCTACCTGGATGCTGCGTGCAGAAAAATTCAGACTTTGGAATGAAATGCCCTGGGGGCATGAATTTCAATGGGAGATGTTTTCACAATTTTTTGCATTAGTTAATCCGATGGACACGGAAAGCTAGAACTTTGCTGGAATGTGACTGCCAAGATAAGGAGTTAAAGTAAAATGTTAAGTCTTGATACATCGCTGGGAGAAAATTTCTCGAGGGGCGATGTTTAAAAGAAAATAAATTGTCTTGGCGAATTGGGCATAAATGGAAAGGTGAAACTTGGCACACGTATAAGTGATGAGATATTATTGAGTTGAGGGAGTATTCAGCTTTCATGGTGCATCCCCTCTGGGCATGGCTTTTGCTTGGGTCAGCTTTTCCAAACATGATTTTTCACCAGCGAAAAGGGCAAACGTATAATATTGAGACTTGGTGGGCATGTAGTTCACTGAGGTTTGATTTCCATAAAAATGGTACCTTTCAGTTAAAACCCATATAAATAGCATATATTTTGCAAATTTTTCTGAATTTTCTGAACCAAGCAATTTTCTGATCCAGCAAAACGGAGGGTGCTAGAAAGTTTAAACTTGGTAAAGAAGTACCTGATGAATAGCTGAGTAAAAAAACAATTCTACTTTCATCTAATATATGTAGACGATCGTGACTGACTGACTGAATGACGCTAATTTTAACCACGTTCTAAAAGGGTTAGAAATCTGAAACATTGTACAAAAGTACCTTTTGGGATGTAGAGTTCAGAAAACCTCTGACTTTGAAGGTATATGCCCTAGGGGTACACATTTTGGTGGGAAACGTGTTCCTTAAAAATATTTTGTGACAGATGAGGATGGCATTCAAAGAGACAACTGGATCTCCTGGATTCGGTGGTGTAATAGTAGCATCACTAACTGCCAATCAGAAGGTATGGGTACAATTCCCGACCTTTCCTTGGCTTATTTTTTTATTTTTTTTTCCCTTCCAAATCCCGTTACTCATNAATATAGGAACGTAAATTTTACGTAAACGTGATGTCATTTTCATGGCGATCGCAAGAAATTTACATTGTTTGCAAAGAATTGATATCTTGTTTACGTAAACATGCTGCTTGGGTTTCTAATATGCATTTAAAGCTATTTCCGTTTGAGTCTGATTCTAAGTCAATGTCGTGAAAAAAAAATTCTAAAGAACGTTCTTTCCATTAATACCAGCAACAGTGACCTGCTTTTTGCAGTTTGGAAAATATTGCATTTTGAAATGGTATAGTGATTTATGGGACAATTAATGCTTCTAAAATATGAAGCCTTTGCAGAACACCCCCGTCCCCATCTCTCACGATTCAAGAAAGCTTCACTCGCAGAACACACGAATGATGTCGGTGGATCTCCATCTTTCCAGGGCGAAAAGGCGATGAAATACCTCTCGAAGCTGAACTGGAGCGTTGCCTTCTTCACGTCGTTCGCCATCACCTTTCTAATCACCCGGATCATCCTCTTCCCGTACCTCATCCTCTTCCCGTCAGTTGCACGATGAAACGGATGACTTCTCGGACTCGTCCACCTTTCGATGTGGACGGTTTTTGCAGTTCATTTGGTTTAAGACAAAGTACGTTTGGGTTCATTAATCGTGTGTGCATTTGTGTAGGACACCTTTTCTTTAAGGAACTCCTATTTTTTTTTAAATCTTGCTGTCTGTAGATGGTGCTAGCCACAGGATTCTAAATTCTCTCTTCATACTAGCAGGTGAAGGCATTTCAATTAATTTATGCACGATGAACACCCCTACTTTTGTTTTTTTCCTGATGAAACACCTCCATCAAGACCAACGATTGTAACGATCGTTGATAAGTTTGAAGAGAAGCGTTGAGTATGAAAGGGGACATCTCATGGCCAGTAACATCTCCCGATCTAAGACCGTCAGTTTTTTTAAATTGTGTTTCCTTTAAGAAAAGGTGTCCTCCACAAATCCACACACCATTGATGAGCTTAAACGTTCTGTGGCTACAGCACTCGGAGCCATAACGCAAAAAACACTGAACAAGGCTATTTAAAACTCTGCTTTACGTTACAGACAGAATATTCAAAGGAACGGTGAAGACTTTTAGTATGTCTTTCAGCGTTGAAAAACTCTTTGTTTGTGCTGTCAGTTGACGCGTAATTCAATTTTCTATCGTATTAAATGACGAAAATACAGGTTAATGAAATGTGAAAAATTTTTGTGCGCCCCCTATTTATGAAATATTAACTTGAGTCTGAATGTCATTGAACCTTGGGCCTTCTAGTGTTTTTGCATTCGAATCCTAATAATTGACCTGCACCACGTCCGTTCGAGTCTCTTCCACAACCTACTCCTAACGTAAGCGAAACTTCTGAGACACTGAAATGTGCTTCGTTCCCCAGGGCCGTGTTGGAGTACTTGGACCGTATACCGAAGACGGAGACAGGGATGAGCGGGGGGCTTCTCATCGTGGTCCTGCTTTTCCTCCTCTTCGTGTTCCAACTCTACCGTATGTACCTCATCCTGGTCGTGGTGTCGGATCTCTTCGCTAAAGGGGACTTCAAGGTCTGCATTTTTCCGTCCTTCCTTTGCGATCGTTTCATTCTTCCATCTGAATGTTTGGGTGTAATGGCTACAGTTTTGTTCAATTGCTTTCGCAAGTTATGTAATGAGGGACAATGCAGAATAATATTAGGGAAATTGGTACCGTTTCACTAACTTCAAATTACAGTCGAGGCATCTCCACACATTATTTGGCTCCAATCTTACCCTGTATTTTCGTTCCTCATCCTTTTCGTACGTACAAAAGGGATAGAGAAGCCTAGACGGATTGTTTAAGTATTTATTTCGGAAAGGAATAGCAATTGTAAAATAAAAAATAATTTTGTTTGTAGTATGGAAACTCAATTTTTTTAGTGGGTCTTCTCTCTTGACAGAAAAGAGACCAATTATGATCCCATTATGTCCGTCTGTGTGTTTTCACACTTTGGATGCGCAACGAAAACTAAGAAAATATTGGCCTGATCATTGCGGGGAAGCAGGTATATATGAAGGGCTGCAATACAAAGTGGTCTATCTGCAGAAAAATTCCGATAAACGGAAAAGTGATCAATGTGTATAGACCACTTTTCCTTTCATTGAAGAGTGTAGTTGGAGGACTGAAAGGAAAAGTGGTCTATCTGCAAGAAACAGTTTCCCAAGCCTCAGAAGGAGAAAATCACCACCTGGCTCTGTTAATTAAGAAGTGGTGCATGTATTGGATCTTGTTGGCCTGTTGAATGCTAGCTCTCTGTAGAGCAATGGAGTGATCTATCTTGGATCACTCGACTCACCAACTCGACTTTCAGCACCAAGAAATAATTAAATTTGATGTCATAACGAGCTTGTTTAGTGGCTCTTCCGAACTGGGACATAAACCATTTTAGAAGTGTCTTTGTCGAACTGCCGCTGTGGATGTACTCTGACAGTAATAAATGTATAGTTTTCACAGAGCTGAGAGGAGAGAGAGATACATACGTAGTTCGATTTGTACGCCTCTGGCTCATTTGGAAATTGAGGAAAAAACGTAAAAATCTCGGCGAGTTTTTTATGCACCACCTGGTATTTTCCCCTTGATCAATTTTTCAATGGATATCAAAGTTGAGGGGATGATCTCGCTTCCATGCATTTTCTCGCTGAAAGCCTGAACACCAAGCAAAAAAATCCATTAGGATTTGATAGACGTTCATCACGGGGGTGTTTGCACCTTTGATATGTTTGCCAGGTGGATAAGAAATGCACGTGGCTGGGAAGGAAACAGAGGATGTACCTTGCATACAAGGACTAATATAAACAAAGCTACAAAGATCATTGTTATGCCATAATTTACTAGGATTCTAGTGTCAATGGCTCGAGATGTTTGAGCCTAATGAGAGCAAAAGAAGTCTCGATTCACTTTCCTGTCGATTCCATCATTTCTGTAATTCGTCTCATTATCACTTCCGCTAATTTTGCAAATAAATTATAATTTTCACCATCGTGCAGAAGCTGCTAGTGTGAAGTTCTACGGTTCACTCCTTGAACCACATTTCACATCATTATATTTCGCAAGCCTTATTATCGCATATCTCGTAATTTCACTAACATCGCATTTGATATATCTCAGGCACTCACTTCATTACTTTCCACGGGTTTTCACATCGATATTGCATCTCATACAATTTTGATATACATTTCACACAACCACCTTCACAGAAATTTTTAGAACCATAGGATGAAAAAATTTTCGCATTGGTGGCACAGCTAGCCACTGGAGATTATGAACTGATTTAGTTTCCGATTGATAGGGAATTATTCGCCTGCAAGGAATTGTCTGAAAAAATCCTTATCAGTATTTGGATTTCATTTGCCATATTTGTTACCATGAAAATTACTTAACTTATGGAGTTATACACGTACGAGTATATGGATCATAAGTAACTACCGAATATTCAAGGAGCAAGACTTATCATTACGAACGAACATTATGAGACTCGAAGGATATACGTTGGCGAAAACAGTTTACACAGCAAGCTTTTGCCATAATTTGGCGTGGGTTTTCCAAATTGCCAAGAGAAATTCAAATCCTTCATCGTTTTATCATATGTTATCCGATTAACATTGAAATCAAAGCCATAAGAAAAAGCGATGCAGTACAAGGATACTAACCCGTGACGTTCCATAATAATATATACAGGGTGACCAGAAAGTCCTGTCCATCAGCATTTTTACAGCAGCTCTTTTAATACTTAAACCTGAACTACAAGTCAGCAAGTGAAGGAGCACAATAGTCTTAGCAACACAACAAAATTACCCAGATTCAAAATGACCACCCTTTGCGTCTCTACACGCCTTCAGACGGCGCGGGAAGTCATCGACG